TCACTGTACAGTACACTGTACACTGTACAGACGAGCAACACGCCATGTCCTCACACGAGTTACACCGAGATAGAGCTATTTCACTGTCCAGTACACTGTACACTGTACAGACGAGCAACACGCCATGTCCTCACCCGAGTTGCACCGAGATAGAGCTACTTCCCTGTACAGTACACTGTACACTGTACAGACAAGCAAGACGCCATGTCCTCACTCGAGCTGAACCGAGATAGAGCTATTTCACTGTACTGTACACTGTACACTGTACAGACAAGCAACACGCCATGTCCTCACACGAGTTGCACCGAGATAGAGCTATTTCCCTGTACAGTACACTGTACCGTACAGACGAGCAACACGCCATGTTCTCACACGAGTTGCACCGAGATAGAGCTATTTCCCTGTACAGTACACTGTACCGTACAGACGAGCAACACGCCATGTTCTCACACGAGTTGCACCGAGATAGAGCTATTTCCCTGTACAGTACACTGTACCGTACAGACGAGCAACACGCCATGTTCTCACACGAGTTGCACCGAGATAGAGCTATTTCCCTGTACAGTACACTGTACTGTACAGAGGAGCAACACGCCATGTCCTCACACGAGTTGCACATTTGGAATCCCAGCCCTGGGACTAGTTAACATAAGGTTTTTCATGGTTTTTCTCACTCGCTAAAGGGAAATTCTGGGATAGTGCCTCTATTTATATCATGACCGTTTCCTTTCACATCCTTTCCAATTTATAATTCACTGTTCGTCCTACAATTCGACGCCGTACAGTGTTGCCAACAGCGTAATTAAATACGTCATAATATAATAACAACACTTCTCCGCTTCTGCGCTCCTGTTCCAGAGTTCTGTTCAGGTGCGGTATGTACATACCCTCCCCTAAACACGTCACAACTTTTGGAACTGCCGCAACCCACCCTCGTTATGTTGGGTTGAGTTTTGTAGGTTTCACATTAATGTAAGTGTGTTGTAGTGTGTGTTTTGCAAATGGAGCCATAGAGAGGAATTATTAGCATGTCAAATTATGTTCCATATTCATATTCAAAATGAGAACAGAATGAAATTTCAGAGAGCAAGAGAGGCGATGTCCCTTTGGACTTCCAAACAGATGAAAATGTGAAATGAACACTGAATTAGGCTCACATCGGTGACGTAACAACTACTGTACTGATTAATGCTTTATGTGACGTATGTGTTCTTCTTAATTAATATTAAGAAACTGTCGTTCCAGAGGAATAATGTGTGAAGATGTATATTTGATTCATTTGGCTTAGAACGGACCGCCTCTGTGGTCTTAGTAGTCAGAGTTCCTGCCTACAGATCCAGAGGTCCTGGGTTCAATTCCCGGCACTATCAGATTTTCTGAAAAGTATTGGGTATGGGACAGTGTCCACTTAGCCTCGTGAAGATAATTCAGGAGCTATTTCAAGGAAATAGCGGCTCCGGTCTAGAAAACCGAGATTAACGGTCGGCACGGACCACATAGAAAACAATTCCTCCATTGTTGTAGTCCAGTTTTGCATTATTAAGAACCTGCTGCGTAGCAACGGGCGTTCTATTGTTTTCTTCGAGGCCGTTGCCTAGAAGCGATAGTTGTTTCGGAGCCGTTCGCTAGCAGCGACTGTTTCTCTGGCTCTACAGTTGTTGCAAATATGCAACAATATAATAGCTTCCCAACCATGACGTAAGATTGCGTCACTATCTGATTATGACGCAACGTCAAAGATGTTTTAGGCACAGCACAGGCTGGGTAATCCCCGGGGCCATTCTGGTCGCGGAGAAATATTTCCCCTCCCGCAACTCGTACTCCACTCATTCTGTCCACATTTATTCATGTTTGTGATGTAGTCGGGGTAGCCTAAGCTTCAGCGCATTGTTTTTGTTATCACGCATATGTAGTTTAGATAATTAGAAGTGTTATTTTCTGCTGTTTCCGTGTTTTCACTAGAATGCACCCCCTTTCATCCGTACACCGTATAACGCGAGCATTTCGCATGACATGTGAAAATCTCGTATGTGTTCTGTGCAGATCCCCTCGTTACCTACTGAACTGTAATATCACGTTTACGTTAAATGATCCTGTTTGGATAGAGTGTTGGTGTTGGCTTGCCGTGCCATCTGTGGATTTGCATCTGCACTAAGCGAAACGAAGGAAATTAAAAAATGCCGACCACGCCTTTGATAATCTGTATCCAAGGGAACTCCGTCTTTGCATTATTTCTTTAAATATTGTATTCACTGTAATTCCATGCGCCACTGGCAGTGAAGGGGCTGTGTACGTGTTAGTAATAATGATTCAGTTATTTATTTACGTTCTGAGCTGGGCCGCGCCATAGCTCAAGCGGTTAATCGCTGGCTTCCCACCGCGGCGGCCCGGGTTCGATCCCGGGTCTGGTCAAGTGGGATTTGCGGTGGACAAAGTGGCGCTGGGGCAGGTTTTCTCCGAGTACTTCGGTTTCCTCTGCACAATCTTCATTCCACCAATTGCTCCACAATCACCCTCACCTATCATCTGGGGCTGGTACAATAGGCCAGAAGTGGCCGCAGTACAAGGGCCCACCCCACTAGCAGTAAAAAATATAATACGTTGTGAGCTCCATAGCCAGTGACCAGTTACAGAGTCATACAAACAACAGCAGACATAAGACAACACAGGTCAAAACAAAACAACATAAGAAACAAGAAAAAGCAAAGAAAATTTTGATCGGTTAAGGCTTTCTTACACTCAAACGTGAGTAATTAAAAATATCTCTACACTCACAAACTGCATTTGCAGCAGAAACACAATGACTTAAGGGGCAACGGAACTTTGTAAAGTTACATGTTGTAGCGTGTAGAGCCGTTACTATGCAACGATCGCGAGAATAGCAAATATATCAGAGCCGTTCCTTTGCAAAGACTCGGCAAACACGTTCCCGCAGCTACTAATCGACGCGCAACAACAGAGGTATTGTTGGAAATGGAGTTTTCTACTCGGTTCGTGCGAAGAAGTTATAAAGAAACCAATTGAGGTGACTAAGTCAGTTCTGTAAGGAAGTCTGTGAGGAAAAGTTCAGTTGGAAGTATACTTGAACCCGGAGACAGAGGAATAGCCAATGTTAGAGCTTTTACCAGGAAACGTCTAGTAACAGACTGAGAACACTAGACTGTGTGCTCTGTGAACTATAAAGTGTGGAAATAGCGATAGTGATATAGTTGTTTGTAGTTACGACCTGTAAGTGGTTAATAAATCTATTCACGAATCCGAACGCCGTCTGTAGTCACACACGTGTTCTGAGTAGGAGCATGAATGCCGGCTGTTTCGAAGAAGGGGGCGCAACATTTAGTGACAGTAATGACAGTTATTGTCAACAGAGCATCTAAGTGACGTCTGATATGCAGTGTTTGAAAATTTAATCTTTCCAATGTATTGTTATAAAGATATTCCACATCTTAAAAAAGTCTATTGTGGCAAAGGACTGCATGTTTTCTTTTGTGTGCACTCAAGTTTATTGAATAATAAAGATAATAATAATATAATTTGATGTAAGAAGGTAGTATCTTCAAGGGCACCGTTTTGAGATATGTCAATATGAAAGTTCAGAGTGAAATGAATATTTAAAACTGTTATTTTTTAGCACTGTTTGATTCAATTTATGAAATGTTCGACCTTTTGTGAAAGTAAAGTGGCAACGTGCTAATTCACGTGGGAGCCACAGTAGCTCAGTCGGTATAGCTACGAGCTGGATGACCCTCGGTTCGATTCCCGGCAGGGGTAAGAGATTGTTTTCTTCTCTACAGCGTCCAGACCGGCTCTGGAACCCACCCAGCCTCATGGGAACGGGGGTAAAGCGGCCGGGGCGTGAAGCTGATCACTCACCTCCATCTGGTGCCGAGGTCAAGAATGGTGGAGTTATACCTCCACTCCCCCAATATGTCTTCATGGCTTGGTGCATAATTAAGCACAGGGACAGCTTTGCCTTTACTTATACATGTATGATATGGTGATGGAAAAAATAAATACATATTCCGTTCTGTCAGACACATTTATATTTCAAAGGGGCTACTTTCTGGGGTATACTCCATACAGCCTAGTAGAAGTTCTCCGATGTTTCGGAGAAATGTCTTGTTTGAGTCTTCATGATCGAAGAATTAACCAAGCAAGAAATAGGCAACAAGCAGAGCAAGTTTGTAACTGGGTTTATACAAATTTGTATATATGTTTCAGAAAGCTTTTAACAGGTTTTAAATTTAATGAGCAAAGATGACAGGCCTAGCAGTATATTTCAACGTGTGTTACGTGCATAACAACGTATTCAATAGAAAGTTACATTTATATATGGACAAATTGGCACTGGGGCAAATTTTCTCAGAGTACTTCGGTTTCCCCTGCCAGTTCTTATTCCACCGACTGCTCCACATGCATCATCATCTATCATCAGGGGCTGGTACAATAGGCCAAACAGTGGCCGACGTACCAAGTGGACTCAGTCTCACCCCACCCCAAGAAACTAAATTAACTATATACATATATACTGAGCGGGTTCCCAAGTTCCAAGTTGCTGCTGCGTACTTCCCCGCCTGTCCCTCCCGATTTAAATTCGTCAAAAAAAAACCCCCATGCTGTAAAGGCCACCATTCCCCCCCCCCCAAATATTCAATTCCACACAAATTCAGGAAATAAAAATTCCCTCCCCGAATCCGCTACTTTGATCATCCTAACGCCGGGCGAAGCTCCGGGAACCGTCTAACAAAATGATACTCTTTCTCCCCCCACAATAAATTATCTTTCTCCTCTCCCACGTCTTTCCCTTGCACCTACTCTTCCGCTAACCGTGAGATCGTAAATAAACCAGATGTAAACTAGATTGGAATGAGATATTCATTTTTTATCGTCTTCGTCCTTTTCTGTCTAATAATTGTACCTAGTTTTCTAATATAGCCATTTAATTCATTGTGAAAACTAATTTCACGAGCAAGTTTATGGAGCTGTTGATTTTCTTGCAGATAATCCGTGAGCGACTGCCTTCACAACCCTCCAGGGATGGTCTCGTGTGGAATTCATCTCCGGGTGCTCTGCTAACACTTCCTCAGTTCTCCGATACGCTCCGCCACTATCCTTTCTATTTAGACGTGCTTGGAGCAGAGCCTGGCAACAAATTCACGGCTGTCATATATTCTCAGCTAGGGGGACCTGCAGCGAGCACGTCACCTTTATATCGTCTAATTAGGAATGTTGCGCGCAGTGTGTATGTAGCAAGGGTAAGTAAACTGTGTTTAAAATACATTTAAGGTTGCGTTATCATCAGATAATGACATCTTTTGTTACGTAATTATTTTAAAAGTAGCATATTTTATTTTCAACTTACGATAGGAGTCAAAATTGCCATATTAGATATCCCGTTGAACACAGGGACTTTTCTTCCGTGAGGTTGGCTACTCAATGTATGACGTACCCTCAGAGATGTTTTAGACAGTTCACAGTTATGACTTCATAAGCAGTGTGCCGTATGAATATGTGAAGGTAAATATACACACTTTCTAGACCTTCTAGACCTTGAGATTTCACGTTTCCATGCAGTGGATTTTATAATTATGATCTCTGATGTGATGGCGTGTAATCTAATAGATTTTTTTTTTTATATATATATTTTGGAGGAACGTACTGCCTCCATTTTAAGGAAACATTAATTTATGTTTATTTATTATGATTTATTTAACAACTCTGTCAGTAATTCAGACTATGATGGATGGATTGATTGGATGATAGTGATAAATGAACTAGTAACGGTATGGAAGAAAGCTTTTATGGACTAACTGAAGATACTCTTTCACCCTTTGCTTGGAGATACTGAAGAAAATCACAGGATTGCCAGTGTCCCGGCAGAGATTTGAAACAGGCACTTCTCAGATATAAGCTTCAACGCTGTCAGAATTCTTCCTGGAGGGGGGGGGGAGTTAGAAAGTACTTAACAAACTTCAACTCAGGCCACATAAGACCATTGTTACTGATCGCCCTAAAGTATTCTGGATAAAATGTTTTTTTTTTTATAAATAACCTAAATTGTTCATACATGTCTTTTTTGTTTTAAATTGACCTTTTTCTTTTTTCGAAAAGTCCTAGGGGTAAAAATACATGTCACAGTATGTTACAGGGCTGATTTGACATCATTCTGTCGGGCTGGGACAGTTCTGCAGGCTGGTGACAAGGATTTTGTTCCCATTAGGGTATGGTACCAGGTATAACATCCCCTTTATGAAGGGGACTACTCACCTCCATGTAATCTGAAGCTGTAGGATATGTGGAGCCTTGCCTCCATATTCCTGATGTTTAGCAGTTACAGACTTACCTGACCATCACCTCTGGTATGATTCTTTCAGATCGTGATTCTGTGGTCAGGTGAGAAGCCCCCTCCGCCGAGGTCACGGTGGCCGTCGCTGTCGTCCTCAGTTCCATTAAACATTCTTCAGCAGCAACAAGTGCCATATGGAGCTGGGGGCATAGCTGCAGAGCAGCAGTTGCCCCCTGCGGCGAACCAGCAGCAAGTAGGCCGTCCTGCCAGCAGTTCCTCTATCTCACAACGCTTCTATCCGCACCCGCTCATTCAGACAGCTGCCGTTCTTTCCCTAGATGAAGACTGCCTCCTTACGACAGATGAGGTTGACTTTGCCTTTGCTGTCTGGAAATCTTTTCCAGATCGTATTGTTGGATATCCTGCAAGGTCTCATTATTGGGATGATGCAAAGGTTTGTGGAACGGCTACCTCGTCGCTGATCCAACTCGCATTTCAAAGAAGATACACCCCATGGAATCAATTATTTAGTTCAGTGATAAATTAGTTCTTCTATTGGTTAGCCATCTTAGAGACTTATGTCATATGTCATGGCTGTGTTTTTATTTTGGATTAGAAATAAAATTTACTAATTTGTACAGAATGTCCAGAAAGTTACTCTGATGTTTGAAAAGGATATGATTTCTTAACCATTTACACATACTGAGAGAATGAACATTGAAAAGAACGTTAACTCAAAAACTTGCCTCTCAGTAAATTTCCACACACTTTTTTTTTTTGAGGCACAATAAATGTTTAGCTGATAACTTATTTCAACCGGTACATGTCTTGACATCTGTGGAGCTACAGGGTCAATATTTGCAGTGATCTGTTGTTTAAGTTCATGTATATTGGCCACTAATGTACTCATACTCTGCATTATTGACTTAAAATTCTTTAAAAATATCTTATTAAGCAACAATGTTACATGGCACACCACTGTCTCAAATATTGACTTTATAAACTTAATGTATTTACACTAAATTTAAAGTTTTTGATGATGATGTGTCACAATGTTGTAAGACTGCTTTTAAATTTTGTTCACCGTCCTATATTTTTAAAACCACTGCAATTAATGTATGTTTGTCATTTGTTCAGGGCTCTTGGGGCTATACATCAAAGTGGACCAACGACTATTCGATTGTGCTAACGGGTGCGGCCTTCTATCACCGCTATTACAATTTCCTGTACACACATTGGCTTAGCCCTCTTCTGCACAAGACTGTGGAGCAATCACAGAACTGTGAGGATATCCTCATGAACTTCCTGGTCTCGCATGTCACCCATCGACCACCTATCAAAGTGACACAGCGAAAACAGTACAAGGAACAGCCTCCAGGGGGTGCTAGGTTTGTGCTTACTTTATTTCCTCACGAAATACGCATGTTTTTCCAGCCCCATAAGCTAAAATAAAAATGTAATCCTAAAATCAGTGTTTTGAGTATAATAACTTTTTAAACAACAATACATTTATTGTAATTGTTAGATTTAAGGCTTTCAGGGCAGTGACTATGAAGATGTGATGCCGTGTAGTCTTTCCCAAAGTTTCACAGGAATGTATTGGTTTGAAGAATGCTGTCTTCTGGGATGTGGCGCCATGTAGATATTGTTTTAACTGACGTTTCTGAGGAATGTATCACCTCCATCTTCAGGGTATAAGAAATCTGCGCGTGATGAACCAGCGTCAGAAGGTGGCTGCATATCTACACGGCGCCACATCCCAGAAGACGGCATTCTTCATAGTCACAGCCATGAAAACCTCAAATCTTACACAGTGTATTGCATTGTCCTCAGGGTCAAAAAAGTAAACCAAGCAAGCAGCAAGGAACAAACTGTTCTTGCCCCTACCTGCATGCTTGTTGTTGGCTTGATTTACTCTTCAGCCTTGAAGATGGAAGCAGTACATTCCTCTGAAACATCTGTAAACTTCTACCACACTACATATCGTCACATACCTGAAGAAAATACTCTTCTTCTATTTTCTCGCTGTCTTGCTGTCTGTAAGCGAAGAACATAAAGAAAGAGCGACGTTCTGTGGGGAATATTTGGATTTCAGAGGAGTGAGTGATGAAATGGAAAAAAGTAATAATAATAATATTCGTGACCTTGTAATATGAACAGTTTCACCACAGCCTTTGATGTCCGAATGTGTATCATGTGATTGACACTTGATCCTATATCCCTTAATTAAAAAAAAAAAAACTCTGTGGCCTGTATCTGTAAGCAAACTATACCGACCGAGCGACCGCTGCTTCTCGGTGAAGTTAGTGCCGACTTTTGCGGATAGAGGGTGTCGCGTGGTCAGCGCAACAAATCCCCACAGCCATTAATATCGGTTTTCTAGACTGTATATCCCTTAATTACATATTTCAAAACGAAACTTTCCTTTTGTTCACAATTTATATGTAAGGGACAGACACAGACTGCGCCTCTGAAAGAACCTGGTGTCCAGCAGAAGGTTCAGAATGTCGTTTTTATCGTGTCATGTGAGATGTGACGCCATGTAGCCTGGTAGATTGTTGCCAGAATTTTAGAGGAACCTGCTCCTTTCACATTCAGAGTAGAAGAAATGAGCAATGTTTTCATCCAAAGCGTTGGTATCCGTCTACCAGAACACAGCAGCACATCCCACAACAGATTCTTCATCGTCGCCATCTCACATTATTTGTACCCTGCAGAGAATATCTGTAGGGTGATCGAGTCAAGGAGGATGAAAGAGCGAGCATGACGTATGCAAAATTTTAATGAGAAAATCTCAGATAAAGAAAACAGAAAACATAGACATAGTTGACTATTAAACTAGATCTTTAAAACTGCAATATGAAGACGTGGATAGGACTCATCTGGCTCACAACATGGACCAGTGTGAACATGGTAATAAACCATCAGGTTCTGTAAAAATGGGGAATTTTTCGACCATCTGAGCAGCTATTAAAAGGTAAAAGTGAAGCTCTCCCTGTAAGAGGCTGTGGAGGCCAGTAGGGTTCTGAGAAATCAAGGCTCCTGCATTTTCTAGACATTTGGCTAACAGATGGCAGTGAGGTAGTCAGCCTTACGCGCCTGCCGCCTATTACTCATTTCTGTTAGAGGCTGAGCCGACCCCAGGGCCATAGGGCAGCTGGAAGGATTAGGTAAATTGAAAAAAATCCACCTCCTTGGGACTCAAACCAGCAACTTTCTGGCTTGTAATATAGTGCCTCAACCAACTACACTACTGCATGTCCCCTGAGCAGCTATTTGCTTCTCAAGAAATGACACTGCTGAATGGAGTTAGTTTTATTTGTTGTATTTCATCTGAAGTTTACATTCTGACTTCCAGCTCACAATGCTCATTTCTGTCCGTCGTTCCAGGTCACCGTGGAATGACCCAGATCACTTCATCCAGCGCCAGACCTGTCTTAATACATTCGCTGCTGTGTTTGGTTACATGCCACTCCTCCGCTCAAACATGCGTTTGGACCCTGTGCTTTTCAAGGACCCTGTATCGAACTTGAGGAAGAAATACAGGCAGATTGAACTTGTTGGCAGCTAGTACAGGGAGAGTGGTGTGTGACATCCTGAGGCCACATGAACCCTGTACAGAATCACCAGGCTTCTATTTTATTGTGGAAATTGTGAAACATAATGTAAAGTTTTGTCTCACCTTATTACAAATTTAGTATGACAATGATTACTGCTTGTGTCAGGTTTAATTTATGTTTGACATTTGAGGTTCTCACAGAAGTAAGTACTAAGATTACAGTCTTCTGGGATGCTTTCAGAAAAGCACATTTTATGCTGGGATAATCAATAATCTGCCATCTGACCTCAAAGTCTTGTGAATGAATAATCACAATTTAAAATAGCACTAAAACAATACATAAACACATGCTCATTCTTCTCTGTTGATGAATAATTATTGTCTGTAAAAAAAATTACTCATCCATTTGGATGTTGTTTGAATAGCCTTGTGTGCAACCACTGTGTTTTGTTGGATTTTCTTATGTAAAAACTTCAGTTGTACAGTACGCATGTTTTTATATTTATATGACATATTCCACATCCTACAGTCATTTTGACTAACTTTGGATACAGGGAATGCAATGCAATGCAATGCAGGTGGCAAGTTGCTTCCATGGTTCCCTGCTTGGTTTACTCTTCAACCCTGAAAATGGAGGCAACATTTTGCTCTGAAATGTCAGGCTGCCTCCAAACTACACCCTGTTATAACACAGAAGACATACCATTCATACACACCACCATGAGAACCTCAAATTTGGCAGGAAACACACATTTTCTGTTGCTGTCATAGGATCATTTCTGTCCCGTCTGCTCTTACTCATGACTTCAGAATCATTCAGATAATGTTTGCAGCCTCTCAGTTTATGTAATATGAAAAAATATTGCAAAAGAAACTTACCAGTTCTAAAGGAGTCACAGTAACTCAGTAAATATAGCGAAGGTCTATTAGCTTGACAGCCTGGGTTCGATTCCAGGAAAGGTACGATTTTTTTCTCTTCTTCACAGAGTCCAGACCGGCTCTGGGACCCACCCAGCCTCCTGTCCAGTGGATACCGGAGGCTCTTTCCCCAGGGGCGAAGTTGACCACTTACTTCAATCAAGTGTAAAGGTCAAGAACTGTGGAGTTATGCGTTCCTCCATTCCCACATATGTCTTCATGGCATAGTGCTTAATTAATTAAGCACAAGGACTGCTTTAACTTTTTACCAATTCTAAAGGGTTCTGACATTGGTATATTATAAGATCAGAGTGTTTCTTAATTTTTTGCGCCAGTCTGTGCATGCCTGTCATTCAAAACAAAGACCCTGCTTCTGAAACATTGAAGAATCATCAGCCAATGAACGACAGAGAATTGTTTGGAATCTTCGTGGTGTGTAGCCACATCAGAAAAAAGCAGCTGGAACATTTCAAGGAAAGAGAGTCAAGTTGCGGCAGATGTGCACAGCCAACGCAGAAAGAAACGGGCAGAAATAGTGATCGCTCTAAATCGCAAATTAGTCGAGTATGGAAGATGGCGGAAGAGAAGACTAAATTGACTGAGCAGTGGCATAATTAGTGGACCAAGAACTGATTTCGAGATCATAAATGGCTACTGACAGTGAAACAGTAACTGCTCAGAATAATGATGAATATTACAGTATAAACCACTGTCAGAACCATTGAAATCTTTATGGACCAAATAGTACCACTCATGTTTCAGAACATTGAATGATTTATTACACATATCACAAGAACACTCTTCTCCAAATATAATTAGAATGATCAAGTCAAGGAGGATGAGGTGGGCAGGTCATGTAGCACGAATGGGGGAGACGAGGAATGCGTATAGGATATTGGTGGGAAAGCCAGAAGGAAAGAGACCACAGGGAAGACCAAGGCATAGGTGGGTGGACAATATTAGAATGGATCTTAGAGAGAGAGGATGGGATGGTATGGATTGGATAGATCTGGCTCAGGATAGGGACCAGTGGAGGGCTCTTCTGAACACGGTGATGAACCCTTGGGTTCCATAAAATGCTGGGAAGTTCTTGAGTAGCTGCAGAATTGGCGGCTCCTCCAGAAGGGCTCAGCTCCATGAGTAAGTAAGTAAGTAAGTATCAACAAGAACATGGATGCTCTGCACTATGTATGCTTGAGTTTACTGTGATCACTGAATGATTTATAACACATCACAAGATCCAGTTTCCAGATCTTTGGAATACTAGTTGGTAGGCAAAGTCCACAAACCCAGTCATACTAAGTGTAATATACCAGTGTTAAAACCCTTTTGAAATCCATCTTGACCTGTGTCGTATCTTGATTCTTTCCCCTTTTTTTAATTCACAAGATTTTCTATTTATGCCCATAGTTTGTATTGCTATGAATGTCTAACATCGGCTCTGAGAACAATAAATATTACAGCAAAAGTGAATTTATGTCAGAGCCCAGCAAGTAATAATAAATTTTGATTTCCTTTCATACAGGTGAAAGTAACAAATATGCATATATCTGCTCACCAACTTCAGATCTCCTTGATTAAGCCCATTGGCTTCTTCTGCTTTAGAATTACTTTCGAATGCGTGATTTTTTCCTCTTTTAAGACGTTCAGTAGAACTCCATGGTTGTGGGATCAGCCCTTTACATAATCTTTTCGTGCACAGGGCAATATAAGGCATAAACATGTGGGCACACAATCATGACCAGGATTCAGACCTGCAATCAAGTGGTCCCTGACTATGCACACAATCATATATTCCAGGGAAAACATTTCACATAACCAATAGATATTTAAATTCTGTTGATTGAATGATAAATGGTCAACTGATGTATTTTAAATTAATAGTGAAAGGGTCAAAATTTGGAAGTTTGCATATGCTTGGTATGTTTTGTGTATGATAGGTTTATTTTTAACATTTATCATCTCAGCATAGAGGATATGAATCTCATAATGCTTTGGTGCTGATGGCTGGATTTTAAGATTGGGGTAATGGTATTTGTATTGAAAACACTGAGGAACAGTGTCTGTAGTGTGTGGCACAAAATTCTTCATACACATCCAACATTAATGGTACTCTGTTTATTAATTATTATAATGGTTCTAATAAGTCACGTAATTATAGTAACATTGTAAAGGGCGATCTGTTTCAATGCCTTTTTATATTCCAGCCTGTATCAAATGAAGTCAGCATAAATTTACATATAAAATAATAAGTTTGATTCATGATATATCTCAGTGGTACATAAATGCCCATAACATAGTCGGTAACCATTTGTGACTTACAGAAACCATTTTGCTGTTTACCAAAACAAAACAAAAATTGCAAAAAATTATGTTCTCATAGCATTGATTATAAAAATGGGGGCAAAATAGCTATGTAGTCTGGTATAATATTACCAGTGTTCCAGAAGAATGTGCAGCCTTCAACATTAACAAATGCATATTGCATTACTCAACACGTCAGTTCCTGATACCGAGTCAGAAACAGTCTTTGAAATATCAGCATATTGCCACACAAGTCACTCATGAAGACTTCTTTGCATAAATTGAAAAATTATCTTTTTACTTCAGTTTAGTTCTATTAGTTCCTTCCCATTTATGGATGCTTCCATCACTACCTGAATCCTTCCCAGTTAGACAGTGTTGTGAGATCACTAATATAAATTAAACTTATGCACTATCATCATTAATATAAGCAATTATTTGTTTAACCATTTATTTGTGTGTATGTTCTTGTGTGCATCTGCTTGTACTTGTTGGTAATTTGGAGTAAAGAATTGTCCAAGGACATATGTATGTATATATGTAACCCAAACAGACCTAACCTAACCAAGCATGTGTACATTTCTAGCACAGAAAAGGTTAAAGAAGCAGCTATCAGTAAAACTTAGAGAATGTGAAAGTTTTACTTACAAAAAGGTACATCATACTTGGCATATGTCATACAATATTTCTCCAAATAATCAGCCCAATTCTCTGTTGCCACTTATAACATATTTATGTCTTTATTTCATGTGCACACTGACTTTAAGTTGTGGTTTATTTTCTTTTAATTACCATTTATTGATAAGAAAATCAAATTTTCATAAAATTGAAATGACTGTATTTATGTTAATCAAATTCAGTTTGTATCATTTCACCATCAAGGAAGTTTTATTATTGTAATGAATGTTGTTATGATTTTTATGTTTTAGTTTTGTTGGTGTAAGAACAGTCATAACTTTGGCACCAATTTCTCAATATCGCGGCACCTCTAAACATTAACAAATTTATTGCCATTTCTGTTACCTGACAGTTTTAAGTTTATTATATGTCAGTACTGATTCTGTCAAGTGAGGAGCTGTTGCCATTGTGTACTTAAATGCCCTTGGCTCCTACAGATATTACTTAAATGCAGAGGAACTTTCAAGTGTAGCTTGCAGAAGCTCAAAAGAGTCAAAATGTACAGTAGTTTCTGATTGTTTCTCATTTGTTCTCGTTGAATATATTAAGCCTATTTTTCATGGAAATGTGACAGGTATGGAGGTAACATCCTGGTATGGGAGAATCACAATGAATGTGTTAATATTTTTACACTTAATTTATGAAATAAACTTGTGGCTAACACTGAGAACTTTATGGGACATATATGCAGCTTGCAGGTTATGGGTTTTATACCACTGCTCTAAAGTTAACCTTTACCAGAACTATAGGAATTACATACACTTGTGTTTAGAAATGAGGGCAGTTGTCATACAATTAGTACTGAAAATTTCTAGTAGAGTTATGGTAGCTAAGTAGTGAAGAGTGAATATTGGCCTGGATTCACAAAAATATGATATCTTACAGCATAAAGAACACATTTGAAAGTGGACCTATGTCTTCCCATTTTCATTGGATGTAGTTCAAATTGCTGTAGTATACTTGTTTTGTAGGTTAGTTGTCCCTGTGTTCTTATTTTTTTATGCTGAAAGTTATTAGAGTTGTTCAAATGAATTCAGTTCATAGTGCTGTGTGCATTATCCCAGCAGTTGACCACAAGCTGTTCAACAGGATGGGTACATTAGAGCAAGCAGGAGCAGCGAATGCCTCAATGCCCATGGGTACTATTTTTAATATTGTGTACTCCTTTACCCAGAACAGTCTCAGAATGGGTTTCACTTAAACACTCCTCATAGAAAGTTGTATGCACAAATGTTAGTTATAATTCAGATTCAAATTAAATAACTAATAAAGATAATATTTCCCAGTGCCTAAGCACCATCACATTAAGGAGTAAAGATGGCATGGAGGGAAATTTCCCTATGTTCTGCATACACCTGTTGCTCAGTAGAGATGGTTGGTCTGCTTTAACATTTCCATTGAGGAATGCTCTCTCAGTATCCACAAAGTAGTGTTGGTGGTGAGAACCTGAACTGTTCTATGGAAGATGGAAACTATTTCAGTGTCTTAATAATACTTCATATCTGTAAACCATGGTACTGCACTCTTCTGTGATGTGACAGCATGTAGTCTGGTAGATGGTTTCAAACATTTCAGAGCAACTTGCTCCCTACATTTTCTTTCCTGAAGATTGATACAGTAGGTTCCTTTGAAACATTGGCAACCATCTACCAGACATGAATGCCCAGAAGACTGCAATATTAATATTCATGCTATGAGAATCTCACATCTCATGAAGAGATTTCTCTGTCTGCCACCAAGTTTAGACCAGCTGTATGATCCACTTAGATTCCCATCAAGAGATAATAGTGATTTTACTCCGAGGCAAAGCAACCAGAGTTTCAAACTGACAACATGCTTCCATGTAATGTTGACATCTAGAATTCTTGGTGGTTTCCCTCTGCTCTAAGGCCTTTACATAATGGCCTACCCACCAGACTACACAGTGTTACATCCCAGAACCTTGTGATCTTTAAGAATCAGTAATATGTATTGCAGGATAACAGATATTTGTGCATACAGTGTATGATTGACAGACTAGCACTTGCATGTTGAATGTGTTACTGCGATGAAGTCTTCTCAGATAATCGGCCATGTGACGGTGGAGTTAGTATCCAGCATTTGAAGAGTGTCTCTGTCTCCAATGTTAGGGGTTCACGTGATAAGTGACACAACCACATGTCAGATTTATATGAAAAACATGTACTGGGGACTTCTTGGATAGGACTCCAACCTCCAAGAGCACAGATGAACTCCAGATGATGGACACAGAGACAGTCTTAAAAACACTGCATACTAACACAATCTCTAGAGGCCGCACCATAATTCAAGCGGTTAGTCACTGGCTTCCCACCGTGGCGGCCCGGTTTCGATCCCGGATCTGGTCAAGTGGGATTTGTGGTGGACAAAGTGGCACTGGGGCAGGTTTTCTCCGAGAACTTCGGTTTCCCCTGCCAATCTTTGTTCTGCCAATTGCTCCACAATCACCCTCACCTATCATCTGGAGCTGGTACAATAGGCCAGAAATGGCCGCAGTACAAGGGACTTAGTCCCACCCCACTAGCAATAAAAAAAAGCACAATCTCTACATAGCTGATGGCTGAAGAAGACTTTAATACATACATATGCCCAGAAATCTTCAAGTCAAATGTGTCGCTGTTATGACATTCAAGCGAGGTAAAAACAAATGAAATGAACAAAAATATAAGAGGCAGCTGAAATTTCTTTCCACTGCCAAGTCCATATTCATGAGGCCATATCTAATGTTTCCTTATAAGAATATTGTCATGTGTAGCTATATTGTATGAAGTAGGTAATTTTATTATGTGTAGTGCTGGCTGGAGGGAAGAGTCCATTTGTAATGAGAAGAAGGCGTTTTGTG